GTTTTTGACTCATGCCAGTGAAGGTGAACCATTGATTGAAGTGTTCTTCCTTTTCTTTCTATGAAGGACCCACCAGCACCACTTCTGCTCACACTTCGCACATTGCAGACACACTATGAATTTGCCTCCTGGTCTAGTCACTGTGGAGTGTGCAGGGGCAAATTAATGAGTGGATGTGAATGACCAGATTTTTCTTCTCCTTGAACAATGCCCTACAAAGTTGCAAAGACATTTTTTTTTCGAAATTACTTTTAATTCCTGTAAATCTAAATTTTGCTTTTTGGATCTGCAGAATTACCAAGTTTAGAAGAGCGCTGCAGACTGTATGTTTCTGTTACTGGCACAGATTAAGGGCTTGACTGCCCTTTAGGAATACTTGGAAAACAACAGCTTTTAGCCTCATCACTCTCTTTGATAAAGGAAAACCTTCATGATATTGGTTTCACCAAGCTGCCGGATGGGAAACATTATATTTTGTTTATCCAGCTACAGGTCAATGGTGAAAGAACACCTGCCACCACAATACAATGCCAAAAAACAACTTGTATCTTCAGAATTTCTGAACGTTCAGAATCTGTTGAAAAAGAAAAAATCGTAGGAATGAAGAGAGACGTCCAAGTTAACATTCATTGGCAGTGATTTTTTAAAAATGTATTTTTATTGGAAAACTATAACATGTTATAACAAGGTATGTCATAGAACATTATACCCATAAAAAATTACATTGCAGATTCTGCATGGGCGGGGATTTTTTTTCAAAACTCAACACAAAGTCTCTGTCGCAGGGCAGCTTATACTCTGGTATAGCTCTTGCTTCTTTTTGGATTTCATCTATGCATCTATAAATTTCCCTTACTTTTTATCTTATTCTTGTAAGATAGGGATTTATGATTTTGTAGTTTCTCTGCAGACTGCAGGTGTTCTACTACTACTACTACATTACCAGTTATGATGTTACCAGTATTCTTGTTATGTGTTGGAAGGACAGATTACTGACTGAACAAGTGCACAACACTTTTTTTCTATTCAAAAATGTCCGTAGGAGCCATAGCATCCTAGTTCAAGAACAACTACACTTTATATGTTTTTTCAATAGCATAATTCCCATTCTTTTCTCTTAATAAGTGGAAAGAGGTGGTGCAGCATTACTCCCCTCTCCACACTCCAGCACTACCCTCCACATTTTCTTTGTTAGAGATTGTTCCTTGGCCTCATTCAACCATTTCCTTTGGTCAGGGACATGCCCCTGGGGATGCGTCATCATGCAGCCTGGGATTCATAGAATGTTTCTCACTCGTCAATGCTCTGATTCATTCAGTTGTGTATGCAGACTTTGGTAATTGTTTGGCAAGGACAAATACAGTAGGTAGACATGTGAAATTCAGTGTGGGGCTCCATCTGGTGCATGGATATGAAATATTTGCCCTCCTCCATTTTAATTATTTTTGGTGGAGCGGTCATAATTACTTGGCTTATTTGAGGCCTGTGGTCTTGTACCTAGGACTGTGAAATTTGTTTTCCCATATAAAATCTGACTGATAATTTTGATAGTTTGATTTTATTTTACTTAAGTGATATTTTATGCATCATCAGATCTCATAACCACAGTGCCAGGTAACCCATTTTGTTTTGGTCTCACATGTCACTGCATTTAAAACTTTAAAATGTATCCAATAAAAGGAAGCAACATCTGTGTAACTGACCCACTTTGAAGTTTATTTAATTATTTTGTACATCATTCAGATTTTTGTCCAGTCAACACATTAAAGAAATATCCATGCCTAGATGAACAACATACAAGAAAATAAAGAGGCCTAGATATGAACACGGTTTTATTACCTATAAATATATACCCCATATTAACTGCCAAGGTAGGTGGCCAATCTTTTACATTCAGTTGGAATAGCAAAAGAATTTTTTTTTAATAGTCATGCTTTACTAATTGGTTATGTTAAAGGGACCCTGCCACAACATTACCAAAGGCCAAGGTCCTTAGCTGGATGCAACCTTTGTCTGACTCCTGGACCACATGCTAAATCTAGGGTAGTGATGTCACACTTTATGACCAAATGTTTGCAGACACCTGACCATCACTTGTTGGACATCCCATTCAAAACCTTGAATATTATTGAGAAGAGTTGACCTCCGCCCATAACAGCCTCCACTTTTCTAGGAAAACTTTCCACAATATTTTGAAGTGTTTCGGAGGGATTTATTGTAATCAGGCAAAAGAGTGTTTGTAAGTTAATGTATTAATTTTGGATAAGAAGATTTAGCTCACAGTTGGCATTCCAATTCACCCAAAGTGTTTAATAGGGTTGAGGTCAGGGCTTTGTTCAGGCCACTCAAATTCCTCCACAACAAACTTATCAAACCATTTGTTTATGGAATTGGCTTTGTGCAGAGTCAACCTGGAACAGAGAAGAACCTTCCGAAACTGTCAAAAAATGAAAGATCACAGCTTTAAAAAATTTGTTTACCAGTACTTTTCACTGGAAACAGCTGTATTTAGCACTTTGGAGAGCTGTCCCTATACTTTTAGCCATATAGTGGGTGTGATGGTTAGGGATTCATACACTTTTGGCTATATAGTGTAGTATACGACATGGGAGTCAGATAATGGCTGTTTGTAGCAGATGGTATTAGCCTGGTCTCTGCCAGATATCATGCGGCCTGGCAGGGTCACATTAAAGAGCACCTGTAGCCTTAATGTTAGGCTGGCAAACTGCCAAAACTGGCAACTTGCCTTATTAATATTAGAAGCCATGAATGTAGGGCTTGTTTGAAGAGACACTATCACCTAATGGGGAAAATACATACCATTTCTAAGTTCATGCCACTTTTGTTGCTTCCCATACCTGTATATTTTTTTATAAGAAAATGTGTGCTTATTGGTTTTATTATTGTATAGATATTAAAGATACACACCTGCCGAACATGAACATTTTACCTCATTCAGGGAACACATCCTGCCAAACAACTGTCCCACTCACTCATTGGCTATGATTTTTATTATAATTTTCTGAAAAATCCCAAAACCAAGTCTGTGAAAATGGAGACTGGTGTGTTGCTAGGTCCCACCACCACCTTCTGTAGTCATAAGAGTGGTAGCTTACAAGGCAGGGACATTGCTCAATTGTATGTGACCTTTCACACTAGGGAAAGGGGTCGATGGCAGTGTGCATGGTGTGATGTAGGAAAATGTGGGTATAGTCAAATGTGAGGGTCTATAAAGTAGCCCTCCTAGTGTATAGCAGGCATCCACTAGCAACTTAAATTTCCTGCTCCTATTTACCACCCTGATCCCCACTTTAGCCAATTTTTTTTTTCTCTCAAAAATATTATGGATATAGGGGAACATGTGATGCACCTCTCTGACTTGCCACAATACAGTGCTTGGTGTCTGAGTGGCCACTTACTGTCACATTGGTTGAGGAAAGGCTGCCTTGCAGTGTGCAAAGCCAACCATCAGATTTTTGTTGGTAATTGCTCAGAAATTATGCAGAGGCTCCAAACTGGATCAGGGCCACAGACAGCTAAATATACTAGGGGGTGCCTGTTATACACTTGAAGGACTAGTAATTTTTTGGGGGAACACAGTTCACTTAATTGGGAATGAATAAATAACAACATACACATCCCTTATAAGCTGTAGGCACTGATCTCACATCTTCCATACAAAACTGGCACCAAATAGCTAACTGCTGTTGTTGGCTTGTGCCTTGGTGATTCATTTAGCCTTCCACATTGCAGGATTCTTTAAACCCAGCATAACTGGAAATGTTCGATATCAATAAATATCAGATTTGAGCACTCCAACAGTTTTCCAATGTTATGGAAGCTACAATTCTTGCTCTTACCTACGGTTCAGGTGTGGTAAAATCATAAAAATACAATGAATCCATGGGTTCTCTTAAGAAGGAAACTATGGGATGTGGGTTATTAAAATTCAGGGCACTGCATCTAAACTAGCAGTTTCATCAACTTTGCTTGTTGAGAAATGCTAGTCATAATATGTAACAACACCTTTTTACTCCATGAACACCAATCTCTACTGTGCTAAACTCCATCTTTAATGACAACTACACTCTGGACTGGACTTTTCTCATGATGCCTAGCACTAGCTGTAATACAACCCTTCTGGCAGTAGTGTGTAGGGAAGCTCAGATTCTGTTCTTGTTTGATATATAACACTAATTGAGCAAATTGTCTTCATGATTACCATTGTAAAAAGCTCACAAACACAAGCACACTATTATAGAAATATTGCAATAAAAATATCAAAATTTGTTTATGCTAACAAAAACATTCATTATCAGGAAGATGAATCTCACAACGAATCCCCGTTAACGCTTTTACAGGCTACGTTGTGTATTAAATTACCCTTTGACAAACGAAGAAGGGAAGAAACATCAATTATTGCACAGTATAAAATCCATTCTGTGAAAGAGTTGGCTTTGGCCCCCTGTTTTTTAGTGAAAGGGAACACGAGCAGATGATTGATATTATTTTAAGGACATCTGTTACTGGCAATGTTCCTGTGAGGTAAACCAATACCAGTCTTCTAGCAGCACAATATTCTGACTGCAGCGGGAATCCATTTTTCACACTGACAAAGAGAATGGTACGATACTAAAGCTGGTCATACTGCGGACGTGGCGAGGGCCATTGAACGCCTTGTCATCTTGGCACACACACGCGCTTTATTCTATGGCTTTACACAATCTTCACAGCAAAACTTTATGCTGACAGCGTTGCACAAGGTACGAACTACAGACTCATCGCAGGGTATTTTCAATGGCTGGAAGAGAAGCAAGGGAAGGTCACAGCTAGCCCAGCACAGGTAATGGGTGAGTTTGGGCCTTTCCAGTGAGATTTTCGCCTCTTGACCACAGACTCGCTTTTCAGGCGGCCTTGGTTGCTGAAGATAGATGACCCAGCTGTTCACCAGTCCTGGAGCACAGGAGATATTTGAAGGCAATGTTCTTGTGTAGAGCAATTTACACAAGACTTCCAGGCCAAGAGATCACACTAAGGGTGACTTTGCTTCTTTGTTCCTTCAGCATCGGGACAAGAGCGGAATGGCTCATTCCCACCGTGGATAAACCATTCACAGCAACAATCATATCTCCACATCTGCAAGCAGAAAGTTAAACTCAGATCAATATACATGCACAACTCTGAGGTGTTAATGAAAATCTGGGCCTTCTGTAAAGCTACTTCCCTGGCTGCCTCTAGCTTCAGTGTTTTCTGAGTCACTGACACAGAATAAGTATGCAGCATGTCAGAGCTCCCGATCTACATTCCAATTCTGGATCAGTGCCCAAGCTGTTATTAAAACCACTGACAGCCAGGTAACGAATATTTTCTGAATAAAGGCAGCAAAGGCCACCTAAGCATGTCTCTCACCACAGATTCCTTTAAAGCTATTTACAAGTGCAAAATATACTGTATATTAATGTTTCACAGCCTTATGCCCCCCTGCTGAGGATATGCTAAAAGTCATCCTGCCTTAGTGGGGGCCAATGTTATCAGACAGATCTAACAGCGAACATACGCACTAACAATGTCAGCAAAGACTGAAATCTGAAGGATTTACTCAGAAAATAATGGTTTCAGAGGCCACAGCTGTCACTAGATGATAGTGTTCCTCTTTTTAATACTGTAAATGTCTGATACAATGAGAATATATATATATATATATATATATATATATATATATATATTTATTTTTTTTTTAATTATTTAATTACATTTTTGACCAGTTGTTGGCCTATGATTAAAATGAACAGTTTTTATTACGCAGAGTGCCAAATACCTTATATGTTTAGAAAAATATTTTAACTTTTTTTGGTGTCAAATCAGTCAAGCTAGCCAACAAATACCGATGCTGCTATAATTGGGCATGAAAGTGTTAAAGTTCTGCTGATAAAAGATTGCTTCACTTGGTGCAGTTGTAACATTATAGACATTTATCAAGCATCAAAATGTCATTTCCTGAATTTATGGGCTCCTTCCTGGAGCTTCACTCTGAAGCAAATGTGAAATTTTGTGACACACTTCATAATTGTGTTAAAATTGCCATACGGTGAACAACACACCTTTCCCATCAAGCTTTTCTCGCATTTTTTACATGTTGCAGTGGATGCAAATTTGTGTCCCATTACAAACCTAGTAAACAGTTTGTACTGACAGATGCAAAGAATGATTGTCCACATACAGTGCATTCATAAATTATTCAGAACCCCCCCTTCAATTTTTCAATTTTGTTATGTTGCAGTCTGATACTACAGTTGTTTAAATTAATTTTTTCTCAGGGCTCTGGCTGGGCAACTCTAGGGCATTCATAGAGTTGTCCCTAAACCACACCAGTGTTGTCTGGGCTGTATACCTAGGATCGTTGTTAGGTTGGAAGGTGAACCTTAGGCCCAGTCTGATATCTTGAGCAATGTGGAACAGGTTTTTATTGAGGATATCTCTGTACATTGCTTCATTCAGCTTTCCCTTGACCCAGACCAGTCCCTGCTGCTGAACCCCCCCCCCCCCCCACACACACACAGCATGATGCTGCCAGCACGATGCTTCACTGTTGGGATTGTATTGGCTGTGAAGTGATGAACGGTGCCTGGTTTCCTCCAGACATAACATTTAGAATTGAGGCCAACCAGTTCAATCTTGGTTTCATCAGATCACAGAATCTTGTTCCTCATAGTCTGAGAGTCCTTCAGGTACTTCTTTTGAAAACACCAAGCAGGCTTTCATGTGTCTTGCACTGAGGAGAGGCTTTCGTCTAGCCACTTTGCTATAAGGCCCAGATCAGTGACAGGCTGCAGTAATCATTGTTCTGGAACTTTATCCCACCTCCACACAGGATCTCTGGAGCTCAGTCAGAGTGACTACTGGGTTCTTGGTCACCTCTCTTACTAAGGCTCTTCTCCCACGGTTACTCAGTTTGGCCAGGCGACCAGCTCTTGGAGGAGTCCATTTGACAATTATGAAGGCCACTGTGCTCTTGGAAACCTTCAGTGCAGAGCTGTACCTTACAATAATCCTGTCTCTGAGCTCTGCAGGCGGTTCCTTTGACCTCAAGGCTTTTACTCTGATACAGTATGCATTGTTAGCTGTGAGGGCTTTCCAAATCATGACCAATCAATTTAATGTACCACAGGTGGACTCAAGGTGTACAAACATCTCAGCAATGATCAAGAGAAATGGGAGGCATCTAAGTTAAATTTCAAGTATTATTGCAAAGGGTCTGAATACTTATGACAATGTGATATTTCAGTTTTTCCTTTTTCATACATTTGCAAACATTTCTAGAGTTCTGTTTTTGCTTTGCCATTATGGAGTACGGAGTGTAAGTTCATGAGCAAAAAAAATGAATTTAAACAACTGTAGTATCAGGCTGCAACATAACAAAATTGAAAAAAAGTGAAGGGGGTCTGAATACTTTATACGCTCACAGTATATATTATATGTCTCAAATAGTGACAGCATGTACTGGAGAGACAGCAAGCCATAATAACTTAGTATATATAAGGCAAAAAAAAAATTTAAAAATGTACCTCTATATAAACAGAATTTTTAGAAGGTGACTAAAATGTAGGATGACTGAGAATAAAGAAAATTTACACTAAATATTATTTGCATCTACAAAAGATACATATAGTTTTGGGGAAATCTTCAGTTGTTTCTGCAAAACAAATGACTTTTTATTGATTGAAGTCTATTACTCACTTCAGTCGCCCATCGTAATATGCCGGTGTCCCAAGCACGATGGTCTTAATAAAGAAAGGCTGGTTTGTGTGATTCTCCTCATAACCGCCAACTATGCTGAAGCCCCAACTCCCCATATTGCTCCTCCGCAGCACCACGTCATGGCAGCGATGGAGACAGCTAAAAAGGAGACATAATTAGGCAGTTATAATCATCAGTGACATTTCACTAACTGTTCAGTACTTATCATCAGCAGCTCATATTTATGCACAAGTAACATTTCAGGTACCATGTACTTCACAACCAATCATACAGCCATTATGGGAATAGCTACAGTCAGGTTGGTAAAGGTTAAAAAACAAGAAGATCATTTTGAAGGAGACCCATAAGAACGCTGCAAATGTTAAAATCTTAATTTTAATATAATCACTTAAACCTTGCTGCACATATTTTAAAACTCAGCTGCATGCAGTGGCCTGTAATCCTTAAAGTGACCTGTCAGGTTTAGGAAGGATCCTATGGGAAGGTCCATGCAGTCGAAAAGCTTTTATGCTCAGCTCTGTGGTTTGCTTCTACCTTCTCTCCTTTTTAGAACTACAGTCTTCATCAGGTTCCTCAGCATTTGGCACTTCCGGGAATGTTAGATGCCCATGTCCCTCACCAGAAGCTGTGATTCCATTCAGTGACTCCTACATTACTGCTCTATCCTGTAGTGACATAGGGATTGGTGGACTGAACCAAAACTCATGGTGGGGGACACAAGTATCTGACATTCCAAGAAGTGATAAATGCAGAAAAACCTGATGGAGACTGCAGAACTGGAATGAAAAGCAGAGAAAGACATGCTGCAAGAGAGCTGAACATAACAGCTCTTCTATGTCAAAGATCTTCCTCTGGGATTTTATTTAGTCTCACAGGGTCGCTTTAAGAGAGGTTGAAAATATGTGCAGCACTATCTTTACATGGAACTCCTGCACACAATCTGAAATTTCAAATCATGCCTACAGTGGACAGGCCTGGTTTCCTACATAGTAAACATGGGCAGGAAGTGCTGTCAGGAGTGGCACACGGCCAATTATCCATCATGTTGTTGACTCTCAATAATATATTTTGGTGACAGTTGCAGTCTAGCTCCTGGGTTTCCTAATCTGCTATACTGAACTCACTAAGAGTAGCAGCATATTATGTTTAAAGAAGAAATGCCCTGATGTCATTAGTTTTCATGTTTAGACTGGACAGAGCTAATAGCAGACAACAATAAATAACTAAAGCTTTCATAAAGAAAGGAAAAACAAGTAATTTATTACATTTAATACATTATAATTATATTGCACTGTATAAAAACATCTATTTAAAAAAATATCCTGTCCCTTTATTCCATGGTCCCAACAAATATGTTGGATGCTCTGGTTAACATTTTACTGTGTGTGAACACAAAAAAGAAGGCTCAATGCCATTTGGAAATTGCAAACTTATAAAAATGTCGCCATCATGCTGATTTCTGTCCGCACAAACCCAGCTTGATCTTAACTTATTATTAGCCTAACAATTTACTCAGACTAATTAGGTTTTCCTGTGTACATCACAGTGCAACATCGCAAGGGTAGAAATCTTTCCTAAATTAAAACTTCCAATTTGTCACATCAGGGAAGAAGCTGGGGGGAGGGAACACATTACAAAGCAGCATTCTAGAAGGGTGCCAGATTGTCCAGAATAAAACCTTATTGCTGTGGCTGATCCCCAGGTTGTTATAAAAGGCAAAGTAAAGCAAAGCTCCAATACTTTCAGTGCCAAAACCTTCAACCCTTTCTTGTCTCTTACACATCCTTATTGACAAGTAATTGCCCAACAGGAATATGTGTGGCTGGGGTGAAGCAACAAACTTCGACAAAAACAGGAATTGCCAGAGCTTTGCTAAACAAAACAAACAGGATTGGGCTGTAGCCACAGGGTCTTTGATCACATTATCTTTTGGGAAAGTACCACTGTAAAGTAGACATCCATGTTCCCCTCTGAACACAGGAAGGTTTTATAGGTGGTAAGGGGCTATTATAGCGATCTGTGAAGACAGGAGCCTCTGTTTTTAAATGCATTTGCGGTTTAATGGTTAATCAGCAGCCAGAATCAGACGTGGAAGCACTGCTCAGTGGAATGTTCAATCTAATTCAATATATGTTTCCTGGAACAAGTAATGGAATGTATAAAAATGAACGGCGGAATAGAAACAAGGGGAAATCTGAACACAATATTCCTGCTTATGCAGCAGTTCGTGTTTTAGCTCCTCACTCAGTCAGTTAAATGGAGAACCAAACCATGCAGATTGATGTGATACAAGTGGCTTGTAGGGAAAGGATATGCTAGAGTTGTTTCATTTACATACTTCTCTATCCCCTCTTATGCAACAAGTAAACAAAGCAATGAATGTGAAATAAATGCAAATACACTGCAAACCGTTTTACCACCATAACTTCCAAATTATGTGGAAAATAGTTTGTGCACTTCCTATCATTCCACAGGGAAATTGTCCACAATGGCCCTATTGCTATGTACCCTACAGAAACAATCTGTATAAAAAAAAAAAAAATCAAAGTAAAAGAAAGCAAGGAGTGGTACAAGTAACACAATGAGGTGCACTGACTTAGGTGGCAGATACAGTTTCTGGAAGCGACTTTTAAAGCCCTATAGAAGATCTATTGCTGCTGTAAAGGAGAAGGTTTGCGAAGAAAAAGCAATAAATAATATCAGCCCCATGGTGAATATTAAATTTGCTTATTCATCTTACTGCAACTTTATTTAATTAACAACAAATATATTACATTTTGGTTGTTCCAATCTTTTTAAAACCGTATGAGACTACCAGGAAATTTTCTTTAAATTGTTACATACCTGGGAAGACCCAACCACATGACCCATGATGGAGACCAGCTGGCATCATACTCATTCTCACTGATTGTGCTCATTTCTTCATTTACTTGTGCCTGCTCTTCAAGAACTTCCACCTCCAGGGCTTTCAGTGTAATGACTGAGGAGGCAGCACTGGCTTTCAGCATGGCCACTGCTTCACTATGACTCAGGTTGGTGAGATCGATGCCATTTATGCTCAGTAGAACATCACCTGGTGGAATAAAATGAACAGGGACAGGTCAGGGTAATAATTGTGCCTAATTGCATATGTGCTTCATTTAAAGAGAGCTACCAGTGTGCATGGCCATATACTTCACTACAACCCCAATTCCAAAAAAGTTGGGACGCTGTGGAAAATCTACATAAAAACAGAATGCAATGATCTGCAAATCTCATAAACCCATATTTTATACATAATAGAAAATAGAAAACATTAAATGTTTAAATTGAGAAAATGTATTGTTTTAAAGAAAAATAATAGCCAATTTTGTCATTGATGACAGCAACACGTCAAAGAAAAGTTGGGGAATGGGCAACAGAAAGCTAGAAAAGTAAGTGGTACTAATAAGGAAGAGCTGGAAGAACATTTTGCAACTAATTAAGTTAATTGGCAACAGGTCAGTAACATGGATGGGTATAAAAAGAGCATCTTAGACAGTCAGATTATCTCAGAAGTAAAAATGGACAGAGGCTCACCAATCTTTAAAAATCTGCGTCTAAAAATTTCAGAACCATTTCAGAATATTGCAAAGACTTTAAATGTATTGTCATCTACAGTAAATAATATCATCAAACGTTTCTTAGAATGTGGAGGAATCTCTGTGAGCAAGGGACAAGGCTAAAATGCAATACTGGATGCCCGTGATCTTTGGGCCCTCAGACGCACTACATTAAAAACAGGCGTGAATCTGTGATGAGATCACTGCATGGGCTCAGACTCAGAATACTTCCAAAAATCACTGTCTGTGAAAACAGTCTATCCAAAAATGCAAGGTAAAGCTCTATCATGCAAAGAAAACCCCATTATCCAGTTAATGGTTAGCAATTCTGCCAAGCAGCAAAAGTGTGGTTGGTTCGAATCCCAACTATGACACTACCTGCCTAGAATTTGCACGTTCCCTCTGTACCTGTATGGCTTTCCTCTTGTTTGCTCCAACACGCCAAAGACATGCTGGTAGGTTAATTGGCTCCTGTCTAAATTGACTCTAGTATGTGTATGTATGAATATAAGTTAGGGACCTTAGATTGTAAACTCCTTTAGGGCAGGGACTGATGTGAATGTACAATATATACAGTGAAGGAAATAAGTATTTGATCCCCTTCTGATTTTGAATGTTTGCCCACTCACAAAGAAATGATCAGTCTAAAAATCGAATGGTAGGTGTATTGTAAAACAGAAACAGAATAGCAACAAAAAATTCAAAAGAAATGCATGTCTAACAAATGATGCACTGATTTGCATGTTCATGAGGGAAGTAAGTGTTTGATTCCCTATCATTCAGCAGGATTTCTGGCTATCAGGTGTCTTTCATACAGGTAACAAGCTGAGATTAGAAGCAGTCTCTGAAAGGGAGTGCTGCTAATCTCATTTTTTTACCTGTATAAAAGACACCTGTCCACAAGAGCAAACAGTCAGATTCCAAACTCTCCACCATGGCAAAGACCAAAGAGCTGTCCAAGGATGTCAGGATGTCAACTCAACTCACCGTGTTTGGAGGAGGAGGAATGCTGCCTATGACCCCAAGAACACCATCCCAACTGTCAAACATGGTGGTGGAAACATTCTGCTTGGGGGTTGTTTTTCTGCTAGGGGGACAGGACAACTGCACTGCATCAAAGGGGCGATGGACGGGGCAATGTACCGTCAAATCGTGGGTGAGAACCTTCTTCCCTCAGCCAGGGCATTGAAAATGGGTCATGAATGGGTGTTCCAGCATGACAATGACCCAAAACACACGGCAAAGGCAACAAAGGAGTGGCTCAAGAAGAAACATATTAAGGTCCTGGAGTGGCCTAGCCAGTCTCCAGACCTTAATCCAGTTGAAAATCTGTGGAGGGAGCTGAAAGCTCGAGTTGCCAAACCTTAAGGACTTGGAGAGGATCTGCCAAGAGGAGTGGGCCAAAATCCTCCTTGAGATGTGTGCAAACCTGGTGGCCAACTACAGGAAACGTCTGACCTCTGTGATTGCCAACAAGGGATTTGCCACCAAGTACTAAGTCATGTTTTGTGAAGGGGATCAAATACTTATTTCACTCATGAACATGCAAATCAGTGCATCATTTGTTAGACATGCATTTCTTTTCAAATTTGTGTTGCTATTCTGTCTCTCAGTGTTACAATACACCTACCATTCGATTTTTAGACTCATCATTTCTTTGTGAGTGAGCAAACATTTAAAATCAGCAGGGGATCAAATACTTCTTTCCTTCACTGTATATGTAAAAGCGCTGCCTATGTACCTGTAATAATAATAATAATAATAACAACAACATCTGAACATGATCAAATCTATCCCCCAGGGTATTAATGAACTGGTAAAAGTACTCTACTAACCAGGTCACTAAGTGCAGATTGCAAAAAGGGCCCATCAAAACATTTGATCAGAGTTAACTAGCTTGCATTTCTAAGCATTCTTACTTGTGCAAACCAATTTTGCTCAATAAAATTGGTGATGTGGCTGAAAGAAAAGAATTCCATTAAATACAAAAAGCCAGCAAATTTGTATTTGTAATATGAACTCAGAGCAAGACCTATTCCCCTTCTTTACTACCCTGACAGCTCTGCACAAAGGTTTATGCGAAAGAGAGAGAGAAAGTCTAAAAGGTCACAGCTTCTGCTGTGCTCTTCTCTTTAGAAATCTCACAGTGCTCTGAGAATCCTGTGACATGGGAGTACCCTGTATTTACTATTTATTAGAGGAACAAAGATTTATATAAACAGTAAACCAAAGATATAAAAAAAAATAAAAAAGGAATTATTTTGTGTTTAAGAACCAAACCACATCCAAAAAGCATAGGCCATTAAAAGCTGTTCACACATAACCTTCATTTTAAAGTGTCTCTGCTGCCATTTTCACTGTATTGAAATGTACAGGAAGCAAGCTATGGAACAGCAGATGATTTAATGTGATCATCAGAATCTATTTTACGGTGAGCTGTGGATATTTGCAGTTTCATAAATTGCATTCCTGTCAAACACATCATTCAGTCTGTACTCATCAGAACCTGAACTGTGTGCTAGAAAGAAGATGTGGATTCTAACCTCGTTTGATTCTGCTGTCTCGTGCTAGGCATCCATGAGGTTGCACACTGGTCACAAAGATTGGCAGCTCCCCGCTTTTACTCCCTCTGCCCCCTGCTACTGTCATGCCTAATGACTCCATGGGGGCTTTCTTTACCGTAATATGCTTTTCATGGCAGTTAACACACTGAGCAAGATCCTAAAAGTGAAAAAAAAAGAGCGAGGTTAAAAAAAAAAAAAAAAAGAATATTTTATTGAAATGATAGGTCAGTAAAAGCAAATGTCAAATAACTAACTGCTGCATAGTAGCAATTTGCTCTATATTTCCAGGGAAACTCTTATTGATATATTGATTATGTGTATCAGAAACACCTGTCATTTCAAAAACTGATCAACTAACTGAACAATAAAGCTCTGGGTTTTTTGTGAACCTGCAGTAAAATTACAAATCTAATGCTTCTAAATTACGTCAATGAAAAAGTGGACTGCATTGTCATATACTTTGCAGAGCATACCAACGGACTTGAAACTTGGTGCTGGAGCTCAAGACCACCTCTACCATGGCTTTTGGTTAGTGAGACTAGCAGTCATAGGTTGCAGTGACTTAGATCCTAAACTATGGGTCATGACCCAAATGGGGTTACAGGCATGTTTGGGAAGGGACAACATTTGACTTTGGGGGAGATTGACTAAAACTGGTGCGCTCAGAATCTGGTGAAGCTGTACATGGTAGCCAATCAGCTTCTAACTTCAACTTGTTCAATTAAGCTTTGACAAGAAAACCTGGAAGCTACTTGGTTTCTATGCAGAGCTGCACCAGATTTTGCACGTTTTAGTTTTAGTAAATAACCCCCTTTGTGTCCAAGTGGAAAATCAGCACAAATTGGCAGCACAAAGACTGAGCATTAGTTGGAAATGTCTTCTGCAACTAAAAGAAAAAAACAAAAAATATTTGATTTCACTTGGCTTTATGAAAGCTTACAGAAATAGAGACGAGCGCCTGCAATGTGTTCAATCTGGGAACGTGCTTAATAAGAAAAGTCTTAAATTTAACAAGTTAAAAATACATGTTTTTATCAAAGCAACTACTTCATGAAAACAAATCCAAAAAATTATTAAAAAATTATTAATCCATGTACACGCCAGAAAACACCAGTACTCTTGGCAAAAAAAAAAATGCAAATTTTGAGTGTTTATTTGTAGTAGCGTTTAGGAGCATTTAGCAGCATTTAGTAGTGTTTATCGTTTTTCTGTCCGAAAACGGCTCTCAGAAAAGCAAAACAGAAGGGTTTTTTTCTGCCTCTAAAAGCTGAGCTTAAAATATGCCTCTAAATGACTTGATGTGCATGGACACATAGGATAACATTAGTTGCTTCTACAGGCAAAGCGCTAAACTCTTCTAGCAGCAGCGGTTTTTTAAGCCAGTGTGCATGGACCCTTAATGGCAAATCAGAAACATTTAACAAACTGCTTTGGAATTGAAAGGGTAAGGCACCATGCACACTAGCATGTTTTTTTAAGCTCAAACAATGTTGGATAAAAAACGCTGGTAATAGCGTTTTAGTAGCGTTTAGGAGTGTCAGCATTTTATTAGTGTTTTTACAGTGCATGTAGAGGGGAAAAAAAGTTGTTAGGAGCGATTTAGTAACGTTTAAGAGCATTTTGTGTTTTTTCTGCTGGAAAAAATCTCCAAAAACTATATAAAAACTATTTTTTTTTCTGCTCCTAGACACTGAAGCTCAAAAAATGCTAATACCCTAAAGTAGTGTGCATGGACACATAGGGTAACACTATTTAGCTTCTAGGAACAGACAACGTGCTAATGACAGCTTTTAGGAGCTTAAAAAATGTTAGTGTGCATGACGCCTTAGGAATTTAGGCTTAATCAGCTTCTAACACAGTAGCTGTGGGTAGGTTGCTATCCTCAGAGTGCCAGTTTAGGCAGTAGTAGTGCAGTCCTTGCCCCCCACCGTGATAAATAGGAGATACCAAGGGAGTAATGGCCAACACCCGAACTTTACCCTGTAAACAGGCCACCCCAGGGGGGCCCTCATCAAGGGAGGAACCCAATTTTTGAGAGATCTTAAAGGAGAGATTCCTCCCTTAGGTATAACACTGGGAGGAATCCCCATTCAAGCTATAATGTGAAACCTAGAGGTTTTGTGGGACAGAATTCTTGTAATTCATCTGGTGGTGGGAGAGATATGCCTAACAGAAGGGTGCCATCACATCAGGCTGCTACTTACCAATAAAATAGAGGGGCACCATCATATCAAAAAGCTAATCACCATTACATTACCCAGGGACATTTTTTAGGAATAGGCCAGTCCAGAAAAAGAAGCATATGCACAGAAAGGAGTGGAAAGAGGGTTAACAGACCCCAAATGGTGCGAATGTAACTAATAATGGCATATTCAACTTAAGGAAGGCTGCTTTGACTCTCAAAGAAATGACACTGTTGAATAAAGGCTTAAAATACGCCCCCCCCCAAACTAGATTAAATAAGTTTCAAACATACATTGATATTCACAAGTTTACAAGAACAGTTTGCAAAAATATTTCATTTAAAACCCTATCATTAGGAATTCACACATGGGGGGATGAGGTTATGAATTCTAACTTGAGAAATGCTTCTCTATTTAACCAGTTGTTAGTAATCCCCATATTACTACTTTTATAAACATGGTTCTTAGAGATCTGGAAGCAAGAGATCTGGAAGCATTACGAGTTAAACATCCTAGATATTCATATTCTGTTTCTACAGGTATTAATAATCTTCTGGAAAGGAAGGATCTGGTTATCAGACCAGCTGACAAGGGGGAAGGAGTAATAATCTGGGACAAAAAAAAGATAAGGAAACATATAAGGTTCTGTCAAAAGATTTCACGTCTGAATTTAGGAAAGACCTAAATAAGATTATAAAATCTGATTATAAAAAAGGACTTATCTCAAAAAAGGAAACATTTTTTTATGCCACTCAGCCCCACGGATGCCTATCATGTATTGCCTCTCGAAGATACACAAGGACCAATCCCACTGTATTATTGGGTCTTTGTTCTCAAGGGCAGGTGAATGTTGATTTTTTTTTTCTATAGCCCCTGGTGTCCCATACCCCAGCCTACTTAAAGGATAGAAAGCAATTCTTGCAGGATATTAGAGATATTCGGGTTAATTCCTTTACGTTTCTGGTAACTGCAGATGTTGCCTCCCTATACAGTAACATTGGTCATAAAAATGGAACGGAAGCTTGGAGTACTACTTAAAAGGAGACAATCATATTCCTAATAGCCAAAAATCTTTTATTTTGAGGTTGTTGGATCTTACTATGACACACAACTATTTCTGGTTCAATAAGATGTTTTATCTACAAACCAGGGGTGTAGCCATGGAAGCTAAATTCGCCCCCAGCCTGGCAAATGTATTCATGCAAATATAACACAATGGCCATGTAGGAGGAGGACATTATCTGTTCTAGGGATTGGCCGGAATTAACATTTTACCAGCGATATATAGATGATGTCCTGTTTCTATGGCAAGGTGATGAAGAAACATTGAACAACTTTATTGGTACTTTGAATAACAATAGTTTGGACATCAGCTTGACACATTCTTATAGTCAGAAGGAAATTCATTTTTTGTAGATCTGATGCTAATTAATGATGGTACTAAGATCATCACTAAATCATTTTTAAAACCTACTGATAAAAACGGATTTATTCCAACTGACAGTTGCCACCACCCCCTTTGGCTCAGGAATATTCTTAAAGGCCCGTTCATAAGAATAAGATGCAATTGTTACAATTTGGATAATTATTATTCTCAGGCTGATATTCTGAAGGGTAGATTTGTAGAAAAGGGATATGAGGCAGCTTCCCTAGATAATACTATAAGGGAGGTGGTGAATTTAAAGAGGGACATCTTACTTAATACTCAAGACAGTACGTGTTCTAAGATGGTTTGTCCTTTTATTACGAACGTCTCCATCCAACATGCACAGATTAGGAATATTGTCATTAAGCACTGGGAAATTTTAAAGAGTGATCAAAGTTTGGGCGATTTATTACTTGAGAGACCCGAGGTTATTTTTCGTAAAGCCCCTACATTAAGGGGCAAGATTGCCCTCAATGTGGTGGATCCCCCAAAGGAAGTTTCCTTCTTTTCCAATGTGAAGGAATTCTATCCCTGTAACCGATGTATGATATGTAGGCTGGAAGACACTAGATGTAGAAAAATTACTTATTTTACATCAATCACAACTGGCAAAGAGTACTCTATAAATTTGTTTATTAGGTGCAGTCAGTAGTAGACATGTTGTATATATGTTAGAGTGCATACATTGGAAAAACAACAAGGAGACTGCAGGATCATATGAGGGAGCACTTGTATAACATCAAGAAGGGATTTAAAGAAAATTCCCTTTCAAACATTTTAGGGCGGGGTCAGCAACCAATAAATTGTGATCTACCAGTAGATCTCGTGACTGTAGATCACGGTCAGGGCTTGCTGACCCGCCATCCCAGAGCATCAAACAGAGTGCAATGCAGAGGGACTACTTGTAAAGTTGGAGCTGTAGTACAGAGCAAGAGACGCATAAGCCGATATCTCCTCTGTTGTGCTGGCTCCTAAGCCCTGCCATGGTTGGTGGGTGTAGCATCTGTCAGCTTGACCCATTCAAGTGAATGAGGTCGCTCTGCAAGTGCCCTGCTACCTTGTGCAGTACAGCAAATAAGGAGTTTAACAGGCAGCAGTGTGTTGGTTTCTCACCATCTGCTTTAACCCCATGGACCCCGCACAAGCATGAAGTTACGGGACACTTGCAGAGTGGCCCCATTTACTTGAATGGGTCTTGATTGACAGGTGGTAGCACCCACCAAAAGCAACAGGGGGTGTAATTCCTGTTGAGGCATGTGTACACCTTTGACTCAACCACAGGTTTTTACCCCCCCCCCAACTTTACGTGAACAAGCCCTAAGAGTGCCAGATGCAACTAAGGGATCATTCACAAATGCAGCAGGCACTGCTGCTCCTTTGAAAAGTGATTCAAGTGTGCTTAACAGGTGGTGAAGAGGCGATATGTTGCCATCACACGATTGTGACACAGTAGTGCGACAATTATACTTTTAAATCCAGTGTGAGGAGGTGACACTGGGCGACACCGTGCCCAGTGAGCTTTGACTTATTCCATGTTGTTTTGGTAGATCTCCCCCTCTTTAAGGTTGTCTATCTCTGAGAGATAGAGGTTCCCTATTTGTTGATCAGTAGGTTTTCTGGTGAGTGCATGGTGGTGGAGGACTTTGCACAAGAGAGGAACACTGTTTTGGATTAATCACTTTTTGGAATTATTTTCATTGAAAATCTTTATGAGACTGTTATAAGAAAGGACTGTTGTTATATCACTGCACTGGACAAGTATTTTGTATATTAATATAGATTTATAACATTTATTCATTTTGCTAATTATACAGTGGGGCAAAAAAGTATTTAGTCAGGCACCAATTGTGCAAGTTCTCCCACTTAAAAAGATGAGAGAGGCCTGTAATTGGCATAATAGGTAGACCTCAACTATGAGAGACAAAATGAGAAAAAAAATCCAGACAATCACATTGGCTGATTTGGAAAGAATTTATTTGCACATTATGGTGGAAAAGAAGTATTTGGTCACCTACAAACAAGCAAGATTTCTGGCTCTCACAGACCTGTACCTTCTTCTTTAAGAGGCTCCTCTGTCCTGCACTCATTACCTGTATCAATGGCACCTGTTTGAACTTGTTATCAGTATAAAAGACACCTGTCCACAACCTCAAAACAGTCACGCTCCAAACTCCACTATGGTGAAGACCAAAGAGCTGTCGAAGGACACCAGAAACAAAATTGTAGACCTGCACCAGGCTGGGAAGACTGAATCTGCAATAGGCAAGCAGCTTGGTATGAACAAATCAACTGTGAGAGCAATAATTAGAAAATGGAAGACATACAAGACCACTGATAATCTCCCTCGATCTGGGGCTCTACGCAAGATCTCACCCCGTAGGGTCAAAATGATCACAAGAACAGTGAGCAAAAATCCCAGGACCACACGGGGGGACCTAGTGAATGACCTGAAGAGAGCTGGGACCAACGTAACAAAGGCTACCATCAGTAACACACTACGCCGCCAGGGACTCAGATCCTGCAGTGCCAGACGTGTCCCCCTGCTTAAGCCAGTACATGTCCGGGCCCGTCTGAAGTTTGCTAGAGAGCATTTGGATGATCCAGAAGAAGATTGGGAGAATTCCATATGGTCAGATGAAACCAAAATAGAACTGTTTGGTAGAAAACACAACTCGTCGTGTTTGGAGGAGAGAGAATGCTAAGTTGCATCCAAAGAACACCATACCTACTGTGAAGCATGGGGGTGGCAACATCATGCTTTGGGGCTGTTTCTCTGCACAATGGGACTAGGACGACTGATCCATGTACAGGACAGAATGAATGGGGCCATGTATCGTGAGATTTTGAGTGCAAACCTCCTTCCATCAGCAAGGGCATTGAAGATGAAACGTGGCTGGGTCTTCCAACATGACAATGATCCCAAACATACCGCCCGCAACGAAGGAGTGGCTTCATAAGAAGCATTTCAAGGTCCTGGAGTGGCCTAGCCAGTCTACAGATCTCAACCCCATAGAAAACCTTTGGAGGGAGTTGAAAGTCCGTGTTGCCCAGTGACAGCCCCAAAACATCACTGCTCTAGAGGAGATCTGCATGGAGGAATGGGCCAACATACCAGCAACAGTGTGTGCCAACCTTGTGAAGACTTACAGGAAACGTTTGACCTCTGTCATTGCCAACAAAGGATATATAACAAAGTATTGAGATGAACTTTTGATATTGACCAAATACTTATTTTCCACCATAATTTGCAAATAAATTCTTTCCAAATCAGCCAATGTAATTGTCTGGATTTGTTTTCTCATTTTGTCTCTCATAGTTGAGGTCTACCTATGATGCCAATTACAGGCCTCTCTCATCTTTTTAAGTGGGAGAACTTGCACAATTGGTGGCTGACTAAATACTTTTTTGCCCCACTGTATATTCACTTGCACATATTCCTAATATATGTTTTATGTGGTGCACTCTTCAGTTTTATTTGTGTTGTCACTCCCATTTTAGTGCAAGCAGCTCCAAATCTCTAGCATTCGCCATTTACTTATGATTTCTCTTAAATAGGAAACTGTATTAATTAGTGTGTGTGTGTGTGTGTGTGTGTGTGTAGGTTTTATGGCTATTATTGTCTTTGTATGAATTGTCTTTGTATGAATTGTCTTTGTATAATTTTTGTAATAAGACTTTTATTATTTGGGTTCCACATTAATTTGTTTTAACAAACCCTGCCTTAGATTACTTCATACTGCAGATACAGAGCTATGAAGCAGGAGATGCACAATTTTTTTTTAGAAGGAATTCAAGGCAGAAGTACATATTTCAAGGTTCCCTTAAAGTGTTACTAAACCCAAAACCGTAAAATCTGTGTATGCAGTAAAGCATGCTTGTTATATTCACTGTGGAACCTATGGGATTAATCCTCCACAGTGTGTAAAAAGGATGTTTGATCCTGTCTTCTCTGATCCTCCCCTTCTTCCAGAGTCTCCTAAATATTTCCTGATAGAACAGAGGCTCGGGGACAAGCTGCACTTGCTCAGTTTGGTGTGTATTGCTAGATAGTTTTTTCTTTTTTCTTGGGAGAGTGCATGTGATCAGCACAGGGCCAATGAGCACTCATCAGGCAGAGGTCAGGGGTCCTGCATCCTCCTACAGAAGAATGAAAACTCCTCCTACAAGGTGTAACAGTGCTGTGCTGGACACTGATATAAGTCACAAGACTGCCCTGAGGCTCCGTTCACACCAATGCGTTTTTTAGTGCTTTTTGCAGAAATGCACTACAGTCCATTTAAAATGGTTTCCTATGGAAAATGTTCTCATCTATGCTTTTTTGAGCTGCTGCATTTTTGGAAAGGGTCAGGGACTTTTTTAAACGCAAAAAGCAGCGTTTTTGCTACAATAGAGTTCAATGGAGAAGCTGCTGATGCATGGTAGATCACTTTTGCTACGTTTTGCATTTTGCCCAGCAACAAAATGAATTCAGCTTTAACGAAAAAAAAAAAGTTGAACAAAAAACGCAAAAAATGCAGTGGAAAAAACAGCATAAAAAGTGTGTAGAAAAACACAAAACAAACTGCAAAAAGTACTAGAGAAAGCATCAAAACACAAAAATGCATATATGTGAACCAAGCCTAACTGATGATGAGAAAAGGTATTTAGCAGTTTATATTTAATAAAATAATTGAATTACCATGTCCTGTGTACTGTCGGAGACCAGATATAGTGAATGCAGGGTCCTGGGTTTAGTAACACTTTAAGCAGTAACCCCAATTACAGATGTTTGCTATACCATGGCAAATCATCACTTTGACTTCAGGTTTACTTTAAAGACAAATCTGAGAAAAAGTGGCAGGAAACACTCACCCTGTGTGCAGTAGGTCTGTGATGGTAGACGGGCTGCATATGGTGATGAGATTGTCCATTGCTTATTTCACGTGACACATTAGGAGCAGGATGCTTTGCAGGGCGAGATACGGTCAGATGGACTCGTTCCCCACTACCCTTTGGGAAAGCAGAAAACACAAGATGATGCCATCTGAATCAAAATCCAGCAAGATTTATAAATGTGCAGTTTTTATGTTAGAATGATATTCAACTACCCAAAGATATAACTTCTCCTTTACAGAGAAAGTCCTCAATTTATTGGCCTACTAGATATATAAATCAGAAATACTCTGCAGCACTCTGTCACACATCGCTCAATAAATCCAGTCTCTTCACAAATTAAATGGCGTGTAAATGTATTGTAATTAACTGAAGCTGATATAAGGAAAAGAGCATTTACAGGTCACTAAAAATCTGTAAAAGTTTACACTTATTAAATGGCAGAAAATCTTTTATTGAAATATGTAAAATGAAAAACTATATGACTAATAAAGACATAAAGCTACTTAACTGTGTAGAAATATCTTAAATGCATTTTACTGCATATAAAAGAGGAGGGCACTCCAATTGTAACGCTCCTCAAAAGTTTATGAAATTTATAATATGGACAGCACACAGTTCACATTATCAAAACATGAAGATTTAGTGTTGTATTGCTTCAGAATTGAAGCTTTATGTTGACTTTGAAGGAGTTCAGGCATTTCAACTTCTTCCATATTTAAGTCTATGGTAACGCGCCACAGACGTGCTGACCTTTACCGCGCATTTGCAATGTGGTTGTGGTGCATTACAGGGGCGGACTGACCATTTGGAAACTCAGGCACTGCCCGAGGGCCCGGGGTCAGTAGGAGGCCCCATGAGATGCCCCTGTTACCTTTTTCATAGGCTTTTTTGAGTTTGGGCAAGGACACAGGGGCCCCATGATCCCCTATTGCCCGGGGGCCCCATGAGTTGTCAGTCCACCCCTGGTACATTAAGAACATTGCATTAATAACAGGCATTTGTGATGTGGTTTTAACATGCCTTTAATCCTCGTCAAATGCACCAAAAACACATATGGGGTGATTAGATGGGGGCCCGTTTTTAACACTCGATAAACACCAAACGCACCTATTAATGCTACACATATGTGTTTGTTAACAGTTAGCATTTTCAGTCAAGTATGAACAAACCCTTAATGTCATGCAGATAGGTTTTACATCTACTTTATGATAAAAGTGGAGTTCCAGCCATTTTTGTGTTTATTAAAACTCAGCAGCTACAGAAACTGTAGCTGCCGACTTTTAATAAACACACACTTACCTGTCCCAGGGTCCAGCGATGTTCTCACCCACACTTTCCCTTCTCTTCTCTCCCTGGCGCCGGCATCTCAACTGTGGGCACCAGGCTGTGACAGCTTGTGGCTTTACAGTCTTGTGCCCACTGCACATGTGCGAGTCATGCTATGCCTCCCAATTGGTCCAGCAGTCTTCTGGGACCTGTAAAAGCTCCAAGGAGACTGCGGGAGTGAGGAGGGGACCAAACTTCCAGCTCACTTCGCTGCAGCAAACTGAGATGGAAGTGGGTACCTGTCAAAAACAGGTATCCTCTCCCCCCCAAAAGGTGCCAAATATGGCTTTGGAGGGGGGGGGGAGGGAAACAAGCGAGCTTCCACTTTTGAGTGGAACTCCGCTTTAAGCTCAGTAGAGGGTGAAACACATCAGTAGGACATGATTGGAGTGTCTGTCACCACTGACAGAATAAAACTTTTGTACGCAAGGGATCAATGGTGTGCAGCTTCACTACTTTGCAATACACAAACGTATGTAGACAGTGCGGGGCATTAATAGCACCAGCAGCTGAAGGGAGGGAGGGTGGCAAAGGCCTCAGAGCAGCTTTAAAATACTGTATGTATGCGGGTTTACATCTCTAACTTTTTTTACCACACATACAAGGATACACCTGCTTTGGGGCACATTTGTGGGAAAGCCAGTTATGTTACTAGTGTTTAAAATTATAGATAGTGCAGATCGGAATCGGAAGCCTCTGGAGAACAATTGCTCACCAACCCAGTGAACAAAAAAGAAGAATCCTCTAAGTGCAATATTAAGGCCAAACACTTTAATGGTAATAATCAATGTACACAGCCACTCACATATGTCCGTAGTCTTCCTTAACCAGTATGTGGGTGTATTGCATGTAAGCAGAAGGACTTCCTGGGTACACCAAGATGGCGGCTGGCGCCGGAAGTGCGTCACCGCGTACCGGAAGTTGCGTGCTAATGTGCCTACGCGTTACGTCACTATCACTCGTGACTTCCTCTGGGCATGCCCAGTGACGTAACGCGCGTAGGCACGTTCGCACGCAACTTCCGGTACGCGGTGATGCACTTCCGGCGCCAGCCGCCATCTTGGTATACCCAGGAAGTCCTTCTGCTTACATGCAATACACCCACATACTGGTTAAGGAAGACTACGGACATATGTGAGTGGCTGTGTACATTGATTATTACCATTAAAGTGTTTGGCCTTAATATTGCACTTAGAGGATTCTTCTTTTTTGTTCACTGGGTTGGTGAGCAATTGTTCTCCAGAGGCTTCCGATTGGGGGTAATGGATGTCCCCTAAAGTGATCCACAACGTCAGGAGAAGTGCTTATCGCCAGGGGATAAGGATCCAGAGTGATCCTGAAAGCTGTTTGGCCCTTAGGGGTCGTTTTTTAAGGAGGTGAGGAGGCAATCTAGCCGTAGGAGGTGAAGAGTGGCACGTTTGCGGAATATGAACACATTTTTTCTGCACTTTTGTTTGCACATTGCATGAATTTATCATTATCAGTTTTTCATGGACATTTATTTTGTTGATTTTAGGAGTAGTATATAAAGTGTGGTCACGTTATTACACTTGGAGCACTGTGAAAATTGTTTTTTTTAAATGGTAGCTATTACCGTATTTGCCGGCGTATAAGACGACCCCCTACTTTCCCTGCTAAAATGTAGTGTTTGGGCTATACTCGCCGTATAAGACTACCCCTCTTCCAATGCAAAACAGTGGGAGGAATAGTGCCCCATCATTGGTATTAGTGGGAGGAATAGTGCCCCATCATTAGTACCAGTGGGGGGAATAGTGCCCCATCATTAGTATCAGTGGCAGGAATGGTGCCCCATCATTGGTGTCAGTGGGAGGAATGGTGTCCCATTATTGGTGTCAGTGGGGGGTGGAATAGTGCCCACCAGTGGGGGGTGGAATAGTGCCCCATCATTGGTGTCAGTGGGGGGTGGAATAGTGCCCCATCATTGGTGTCAGTGGGGGGTGGAATAGTGCCCCATCGTTGGTGTCAGTGGGGGGTGGAATGTGCCCCATCGTTGGTGTCAGTGGGGGGTGGAATAGTGCCCCATCGTTGGTGTCAGTGGGGGGTGGAATAGTGCCCCATCGTTGGTGTCAGTGGGGGGTGGAATAGTGCCCCATCGTTGGTGTCAGTGGGGGGGGGGATAGTGCCCCATCGTTGGTGTCAGTGGGGGGAGAATAGTGCATCGTTGGTGTCGCCCCATCTTCAGTGGGGGGGAGGAATAGGCCCCATCGTTGGTGTCAGTGGGAGGAATAGTGCCCCATCGTCAGTGAGGAATAGTGCTCCATCATTGGTATCAGTGACACCAATGATGGGGCACTATTCCTCCCACTGACACCAATTACACTTGCTGACCCTGTTCTAGTATGGTGCTGCTGCAGCCAGCATTTGTGGTTGCAGCTGCACCTCTACACTGAAGACTTACCTGCTGCTCCTGCACTGATTTTTGCGGGGGCCGCTCGGCTCCGCCCCCTCACCGGTGATTGGCCGCCTGTGTGCCTTTCCTGAGCTACAGTTCTGGCGGCCAATCACCGGTGAGGAGGCGGAGCCGAGCAGCCGCCCGAACATCCAGTGGCCGAACTGAGGGAGCAGCCGCGCTTCCTGGACCGGATCGTCGTGGGACCGGAGCCAGGTAAGAAACAGCCCCTGCCCACCCCTGTACTTAGTGTCCCTTCCGTTGGAAGGGGGGGGGGGCGGCGGCACCGCGCCACCCCCCTAAAAAGTGTCAGTATGCCGTATACCGGCGTATAAGACGACCCCCGACTTCAGAGAAGATTTTCAAGGGGTAAAAAGTCGTCTTATACGCCGGCAAATACGGTATATATTTTTTTGAATACGTGGGCACTAATGCGATAGAGAATAATATTGAGTGGCACTTTATAATGTAGATATCTCACTTAATGATTTATTTTTGAATAATTGTGTGACAGTATTGCATGTGAGCACATTGTTGTATTATATATAGTATTGTTTTTGAGCGCTGCACTATCTATAATTTTAATTATTATATACACTGTTCGGGTAGCAGGTTAAGTGCTGGCAGCTTTCAGTAGGTGAACTTCCCTTTTAGCGCAGGAGGATTTCTTTCTGTATGTTACTAGTGTGTTTTGGTGAGGAAACCCACTTTAACATAGGAATAATACATATGTTTAATTTAAATATTGTGCTGGCGGGAACTAAACCCAGGACCCAAATGCTATTTACTAAGCTATGAACCATACAGAAACAATGTAGCATCAATAAATGCTTCCGATTGTCTGAAAGCAGAACGGTCTTTGCCGTTCATAGTGCACAAATACTTCCATTTATTTTCACTGGAGTAATGGTGTCTGGAAGATGATTGGTTGATAATAATATTTGAGACATTTTTTTAAAAAAATGGAGCTTAAAATAATCGTATCAGTAAAACCAGAGAACTGTCATTTTAACAATCATTTCAGATTAGCGCAGATCTTCATGAGGCATAACAACAGCTTGTTCTGGCACACTTGTGCAACGCTGGCATGCTTTTTAATAACAATTCACATCTACATGTCGCCAGATTTGATGATTTAATGGGTCCATCTGTCATGAAGATTTATTTCTGTGTTATTTAATCTAGTTTCTGAACCCATAATTTATGCTTTAAAGGAAAATACATCCTATAAATTAAATGTTAATTGTTAGTTTCTACAAATATTCACTAATGTCATGAGAATTCAGTAAGCAAGTGCAGTAAAGTATTGCAACCCATCGGGTTCACTGAAGAAATACGTTCTAATTGCAATGAGTTACTGTACTTTGCTATATTTTCATTTTGCAGGCTTATTCAGTAAAAAAAAAAAAAAAAAAAAAATCCATAGTTTGTCCCTACTAGTTTGACCATACAGTTAAAGTCAAAACTTACAAAGGATTGTGCACTCACCCCCTTACTCACATGACCATGTTTGGGCCTTTCTTTTGGCCATTCAGGTACCAAGAACTAGTATCAAGCATGTTTCTGGTGGAGAGTAGGGATACTGAGGCAGCGCAGGAAAGGTGAGTTTGTCTATGCTTCCACTTATGCAGTGAAGTTGTAAAATACAGGTTCTCTTTCAACTGCAATACCACCTTGGCATCCAAATCTGAAAGAGCTCCATTGCATATTTGTAATGTGTTCAGAATTCCTAAAGCATACCTAAAAATAATTTAAACAAATTATTACCTTTCCAGGCGTTTGTTTGGAGCAGACCTTGGGAAGACTGCAAGCTACTCTGAACAGTTTAAAATGAGAGAAAACTCAGTCTGTCCCCAGTGACAAAGAGGGACACACTGAATGTTCCCTCATTAACACATAATGAAGAAGCTCAGTTTCTAGATCTTTAATGTTCTATTATGGCATATTCAAATCCAGGTTACTACTGATAATGAAATCTGCCAGGACAGTACAGGCAGGATTAAAAATGGCGAACATGAACTCCCCAGCCCTCTCTGCATAGCAGAGAAAAACTTTGGGTTTTGGCGTTTTCAGAATAGAGCAAGTATTAGGTAAGCAACATTTTTTTTTTAGTTATACTATCTGAATAAGAACATGTAACAAATATAAACTATATTTGGTGTAAGAGTGGAAGTACGCTTTAAAGTGATTGTAAAGGATCTTTTTTAAATTTAATAATAAACATGTTATACTTACCTGCTCTCTGCAATGGCCCCAGTCTTCTTCTGGGGTCCCCCCCCGCCCTTCCTGCCTTCCGAGTGCAGCTTGGAGGTACTCATGTGGGCTTGATCCTGAGCTGCACTGTGTGCCTCATCTTCTACTCCAGCTCCCCCCACCAGTCACTTGTTACTGGATTTAATTGACAGCAGCAGGAGCCAGTGGTTCCTTCTGCTCTGAGTCCAGTAGGGAGGATGAGAGCCGCTCACGTAAGTATTTGGGGGGAACTGCAAGGTATTTTACTTATTGCATTATAGTAAAAAACCTTTAGCCTTTACAACTACTTTAAGTATGGATTCCAATGAACTAACAAAAGGCTATGGCAGATTTCTCACAAGGTCTTCTTACACTTCTGCTCCCATCCCACTATGTAGGTATTGAACCCCCAAATTGCTATACTTCTCCCTCCAAGGCACACTGTATTGTTTACATCCTTCTTCTGACATCTTAATCCAACCTCAATTTTTCCTCAGTCTGGCCCCACAGACTTCTATGGGGATGGAAGACAGAAGCTCTTATCCCTTGTGTGTTACCATGGTACAGCGCGTGTTCGTAGAGCTGCATTGACTCTGTGCATTGAAGTGCCATTAAAAGTTCAACGCAATTGTGATTCACTCCTATAGGTGTTATTTTAAATATTATAAATGTGAGGGTTTCATTAAAATAACATCTGATGACCCTGCCATTAAAGTTCTTATTTACGTAGCATGACTAGGGTATATACTATGGCTGGTCTCTATGCTGCTCTGACCATAGCACCACTCATCTTCTATAGAATAACCACATCACAACAAATTGGAGTTAAATGGCCACAGCAGCCTTTTATTACCTAAATATAAATAACAGATTAAACACAGATAATTACAGTAACATAATATCACAATGCATAAAATTGGAGCTTCAAGGTCCCATTAGGCATCAAAACTAGCAATGTACCTGCATATCCTTTATTCAGGCCTCCAGCCACAAAAACATTGACTCGGAGACAACTCGCAGATACCCATTCCAACAACTGAGATCCATACCTCAGACGGGGCCCTACACTGTACCTTTGTGCCCATCCTAGTCTAAAAGGACCTTGCACCCCGCCCGGCCGCATGACAAAACGGACTACAACGACCAAAAAACCACAACACTGAAACAAATCCAACACAAAACAGGGCGGGATGGTGGGAAGTTTCCACAAACTTAGCTGACCTCCGACTGAAGACCTGCCCAGGACAGCTACCACCCAATCCTCTGCAGCTCCACCTATCCTTGACCTTGATCCAATCCCACAAGCTTTGCTGCCTGTTTAGTTTCAAACTGCAGATATTCCCCAGCCAAGACTCAAGCCTCTTTAACCCGGTCATGCCAGCCCTTCATCAATTTTGAATGCTTAGTTCACTCCGGGTCTCCCTTTTCCTGTATAGGGTGACAGTGCTCTGTCCCTGCCTCCAGATATGCTCTTCTGTTGTCACCCTGTCACATGGACTTCTGATGGAAGTGGCAATTTCAAAACACACCATGCAGGTAATTTCCATTGTTGTTACATCAAGTAACTTGCCTTTAAAATGCCCTGCCACCATCAATGGAGTGCATATAGAAAAAAAAATGGCTTCAAACAAGCTGCATGTGATCAGCAGCACTGAGATGCAACAAAATATGACAAAAAAAAAGGTGAAAGTGGTATTTTATTAAAAAAAACAAACTATTTTTTTACATTTAATTCAGCCAATGTTCTACTTTGAAGAACAGAGTTTGCAGGTGGGTGGCACTAACATTTGAGCTGACTCACCTGACACCTGAAAACCACTCAGAGAAGTTGCTTTTTAGTAATCTGACATTTCAACACATCTGATCTTTTAATTACCTGAATAATCTGAGCAGCAAGTTCTGGGGTGCCATGTTTCAGGTCAAGCCCATTGATTGCCAGGACACGGTCATTGCTGTGAAGTCTCCCATCCTGAGCAGCGAGTCCACCTTCAAGGAGATCCAGAATAAAAACTCCAGACTCATCAGTTCTGCGGACAAGCTTGATACCAAGCTGCTCGTTGGTTCCTCTTTTATTCAGAGTGACATGGAAGCTTTCTTCCCTCTGTAAGCCATTATCCGTGTGGCTCACAAGCCGGCTTCCAAAACGCCTTTCCCGCAGCACAGTGAGATGCAGCACAGTGCATGGCTGAGACAAGACCACCCTGGCGTAGTTGTGTGATACATTGCTAATATCAAAATTGTTCACCTATAAAGTATAAAGTAGACTTCATTGATCAGCACAGAGAACTAACTGCAAAATAAAAATCTCTGTTGTATAAAATAAAAATAAAATGGATAATTACAGTGAAGGAAATAATATTTTGATCCACTGCTGATTTTGAATGTTTGGTCAATCACAAAGAAATGATCAATCTAAAAATTGAATGGTAGGTGTATTGTAACGATGAGAGACAGAATAGCAACAAAAAAATTGAAAAGAAATGCATGTCTAACAAATTATGCACTGATTTGCATGTTCATGAGGGAAATAAGTATTTGATACCCTTCACAAAACATGACTTCGTACTTGGTGGCAAATCCCTTGTTGGCAACCACAGAGGTCAGACATTTCCTGCAGTTGGCCACCAGGTTTGCACACATTTCAGGAGGGATGATTTTGGCCCACTCCTCTTGGAAGATCCTCTCCAAGTCATTAAAGTTTGGTGGCTGATATTTGGCAACTCTAACTTTCAGCTCCCTCCACAGATTTTCAATCAGATTAAGGTCTGGAGACTGGCTAGGCCACTCCAGCACCTTAATGTGCTTCTTCTTAAGCCACTCCTTTGTTGCCTTGGCCATGTGTTTTGGGTCATTGTCATGCTGGAACACCCATCCATGACCCATTTTCAATGCCCTGGCTGAGGGAAGAAGGTTCTCACCCAAGATTTGACGGTACATTGCCCCGTCCATCGTCCCTTTGATGTGGTGCAGTTGTCCTGTCCCCTTAGCAGAAAAACACCCCCAAAGCAGAATGTTTCCACCACCATGTTTGACAGTTGGGATGGTGTTCTTGGGGTCATAGGCACAATTCCACCTCCTCCGAACACGGCAAGTTGAGTTGATGCCAAAGAGCTCGATTTTGGTCTCATCTGACCACAACATTTTAAACCAGACTTCCTCTGCATCATTCAGATGTTCAGTGGCAAACTTCAGACAGGCCTGGATATGCGCTTTCTTGAGCAGAGGGACCTTGCGGGCACTGCAGGATTTCAATCCTTGTCGGCGTAGTGTGTTACCAATTGTTTTCTTGGTGACTGTGGTCCCAGCTGCCTGGAGATCATTGACAAGATCCTCACGGGTAGTTCTGGGATGATTCCTCACTGTTCTCATGTTCATTGACACTCCACAAGGTAAGATCTTGCATGGTGCACCAGACCTAGGGAGACTGACAATTGTTTTGTGTTTCTTCTATTTGCGAATGATTGCACCAACTGTTGTCACCTTCTCACCAAGCTGCTTGGCGATAGTTTGGTAGCCCAGTCCAGCCATGTGTAGGTCTACAATCTTGTCCCTGACATCCTTGGACAGCTCTTTGGTCTTTGCCATGGTGGAGAGTTTGGAATCTGATTGTTTGATTGTTCCTGTGGACAGGTGTCTTTTATACAGGTAACAAAATGAGATTAGCAGCACTCCCTTTAAGGGACTGCTTCTAATCTCAGCTTGTTACCTGTATGAAAGACACCTGGTAGCCAGAAATCCTGCTGAATGATAGGGGATCAAATACTTATTTCCCTCATGAACATGCAAATCAGTGCATCATTTGTTACATGCATTTCTTTTCAATTTTTTGTTGCTATTCTGTCTCTCAGTGTTACAATACACCGAACATTTGATTTTTAGACTGATCATTTCTTTGTGAGTGGGCAAACATTCAAAATCAGCAGGGGATCCAATACTTATTTCCTTCACTGTATGGGTTTGATCATAGAAATGACACATGCAATGCTCTGTAGCCTGAAGATTTGATATATACACTAATTGACCACTTTATTAGGTACACACCTGTTCAATTGCTTGGTAAAACAAATTGCTAATCAGCCAATCACATGGCAGCAACTGAATGCATTTAGGCATCTAGACATGGTGAAGACTTGCTAAAGTTCAAACCGAGCACCAGAATGGGGAAGAAAAGGGATTTAAGTGACTTTGAACGTGGCATGGTTGTTGGTGCCAGACAGGCTAGTCTGAGTATTTCAAAACTGCTGATCTCCTGGGATTTTCACACACAACCATCTCTAGGGCTTACAGAGAATGGTCTGAAAAAGTTATTAATATCCAGTGAGAGGCAGTTGTATGGACAAAAATGCCTTGTTGAAGTCACGGGAGAATGGGCAGACTGATGGCTGCAACATTCAGATGGGAGGGTCAGAATTTGGCATAAACAACATGAAAGCATGGATCCATCCTGCCTTGTATCAATGGTTCAGGCTGTTGATGGTATAATGGTGTGGGGGGCATTTTCTTGGCACTAGTGAGGTGTACCTAATAAAAGTGGCCGGTGAGTGTATGACTAAATGGTTAGTGAAAACATAGTGAAATAACAGTAAGCAGCCATTGCTGCCCATCCAGAAATACTTATGATTGTAATTTTAACCTTGTCACTGGAGGACCATTTTTTTTACCTTCTACATGCATGCCAAAATGCCCCTTTAAAAATACTCATAACCCCAAAAACATTATACATCTGACAAGAAGTGAGAGGAAATCCCTGCAAATTAGGGAATCCTTTGGGTAACCCCAGGTCACCAGAACTAGTGTCCCCATTGGAAGATTTCCCCTCTATTACTTTTCTGGGGTCAACCCAAAAATTTGGACTCTTTTACTTTCACTTTCAATGATAATGGTAACAGGACTAATAAAGATGGTGAATCTACTTAATGGGGACACAGACAGCAATAAAAACTGGCAGGTGTTGTAATACATTTCCATTCTATCCAAAAAAAAAAAAAGTTTTGCCTTTAGTTATACTTTAAACCTGTTTTTAAACGTACAAAACACAAATGTAATATCCATTTAAAAAAAAAAATATGAGATTGTGTTGCATAAGTAAATACCAAATATGACAAGTCTCAAATTTGTGCATATCTGCCAAACAGCGACAAACTACAATACTCAAAAGGTGATGCTTTAAAAAACGCAACAGTTTATTGAATGAGAGATAACCGTAAATGATGGGCTTAACATGTACTGTATTATCTGTATATACATAAGTACATGCATCCTACGTGCTAATTTTTATATGTGCAGTATGTGTGTACCAAGGGTTCCTTTTATTTTTTTTACAACCTATTTTATTAGATTTCATAAACACATTTTCATTTATTTTTACAAGCTCCTATGTGAGGACATCAGGGGTCTAAAAAACCCCTAATGCTCAGAAGGGTTGTCGGGGAGCACAGAGAAGAGGTTCTGCTTCAGCTGTAAGCTTGGTATTGATTTTGTTCTTGCCTGCCAAAGTGATCTTGGTTATTGTACAGTACATTGAACGGCCTGCTTCCACTTCCTACCCTTTGGGGGGCCGAGACAAGGCAAACAGCTTCAGGATGCCAAGCAAGAGAAGATCCCCGATCTCCTCTCCAATGAATGGACCTGGAAGAGACAAGTATTTTGTCACTTCTGGGTTCACGATCTGTGCTTATTTGCAGTGCAGCGCAGGAGAGACATTGGGGTCTAACAGACCCTCAATGTCTCCATGAAAAAGGACCTGTCACCTGCTCAAAGCTATCACATTGTTGGCTTGTTATCCACTTTGTGATAGCAATAAATTTAAATAAAGTTAAAAAAAATGAAAAATGATTAAATAAATCAAAACAAAAATACATTTACTGCACCCCTGTCATCCTGCACACACACCCGAATGCTAGGGCACCTGTATATGTTTGAAACACTTTATCAGGAGTATGCATTGCTGCCCTTTCTAAGCCCATTGAGCTGGTTCTCTCTTTTTTATATGATAAAGTAGAAGTTGACCCAGTGGGAATACATTTCCAAGTAAACATATGAAAATGATCTTAAAGATAGTTTACACTCTGTCCACAGCATAGTAGACACAACTGCTTTTCTTAAATGTTTCAATGTTGATTAAAAAATATATAAGGAGGTAGGTGAGTGGGAAAATTTAGCATTAATAATTAAAATACCATGATTGTGAATAACCTAGCAACCAAACAGGAATAGTCTTTCTACAGTTTATGGCGATCAACACACGGAAAGATGAATTCTTTTCTGTGGATTACCACGCTGCACATTGCTCTTTTACTTTGATTAAATAAAAGCCATTGTTGTTCTCTATTGTATCAGCTAGAAAAGGATTAAAGGTAATAATTCAGAGGCTTACTTGAAGGACTTGGTCACCAGCCAACAACCTTCCATCTCTGGCAATGATGCCGTCCCGATATATTTCCTGGATGACAATGTTTATTAAAGGAGTCTCATTCCCCCCAACAATGCTGATTCCCAGCTCAATGTAAGGGTTGGAGCGGTGAATCTCAATGGTAGTAATCTCTCCCTCTGGCAGGCTTGCTGGTGGGGGCATAGCTGTCAAGTAAAAAAAAAAAAAAAGTAAAAATATCAGTGGTATGTTTATGGTTCAGTGCCTTCCTGGATCAATACTGCAGGGATCAATACTACATATTTTGCTACCCAGCTGCTTTATTTATTGAAACAACTACAAAGACATCTCTATAACATCTTTAATATATTATTTTGTACTATAATCGCAAAAGCCAGAATTCTGGATCTCATACACGTACGAATGTTTGCATGCAGGTATATATTGATGTCACCTGCCAGACATACATAATGAGCAGATATGAGATCTGACACCCATGGATATCAGATGACCTGGTCCCAATCTGGATGCCCTCAAATACTGTTAGTCGCCACATCCAATACTATTGCTATTTTTTGTGAAATAATTTGGTACCTGAGGTGTACTAGAAAAATAGTTGCAATATCTTTAATAAAAGGACAAAATCAAGCTGTATTAAGCCCAAAAACAAAAATGATAATATATCAGTATATTAGTCTTTTTTTAACCTCTGTTTTCATCTGGGAATGTGGCCAGTAACACACCTCCTGTGTTAGAGTGCTCCCATTCTGGATAAAGGAGCACAGGGACACCTCTGGACAGCAACATTGTCAGCCCGGGTCGGGGGGGTGTTAGGACTAGCTGCTTTAGATTCAACTTAACACTTCTTAAACAGTTACAGCAGCAGTTTTTTTTTCCTTTTGGGATAAAGGTTTTACATAAATAAATAAAAGCTGACCATTGTAAGCACCCGTCAGTGGTAAATGGCTTATCTCGGCCCTCTAACCGCTACATCCGCAAGACAGCTTGTTCTGCCAAAAACAACAGACTTACAGGCAGGATCATCAGGTGAAAATAAAAGAATGAAAGTCTAAAAAGAAGAAACGAATGCAGCAATCACATTTACGTAAGAATTAGTAAACGGTCAATCAAACTCAGGCAACAGTCCATGTTACTAGGGATGCACTGATACCTTTTTTTTTACCGGCGAGTACAAGTACCGATACTTTTGCAGTGCGATCTGAGGCCATAAAAAATGAATGGGCTCAAATCGCACTACAAATAATTCCATGCTATGTGAACAGGAATTTGGTGCGATTCCTTTCCAAATCGCATGCGGTTTTCCGCACAGCTTCTGTGTGAACCCAGGCTTGTCATAGTGACTTTGAGCGTGAGTTTACACCAAGATCTGTGTGGGAAACCCCCATGCATGATGGGTCCCACCAGCTCTAGCTTCCGATCCCACTGTGGATATCAGCGGCTGCAGCTTGGGCTCTTCCTGCCTCTCTCCCTCCAGCCTCCAGTTGCTCTCTCCCCACAGTCTCCAGCGGTTCCATCCATCCACTGGATCCCATCCCCCCCCCCCATCCCACTGTACCAGACTGTCGATCCCCTGCTGACAGACAACAAAAAGCCACTTCACAGGTCCAGGGATTTGAAATCCCTGTGGCTTTCTCTCCTTTCCTTGCAGGGCTGACAGTAGGACTATAAGGATTCTAATTGGTCAGCACCATCACCCATACTGTTAGCACTGCAAAGAGAGGAGAAAAATCTGTGAGGATTGCAAACTGGTACAGTGGGACCAGGGGATATGGGGAGGGGTCCACTGGATGGCTGGAAGCGTTGGAGGCTTGGGGGAGAGAGCTGAGCTGGTGGAGGCTGGAAGGAGAGGCTTGGGGAAGCCCAAGCCACAGCCGCTGATGTCCACAGTGGGATTGGGAGTCGGAGCTGGTGGAACCTCTCATGTAGGGAGTTTTCCTGTTTAAGCTCAGGCTCAAAATCACTATGACATACTGGGCTCACACAGGAGCTGTGCAGGAAACCGTATGCAATTCAGACAGGAATCACACTGCATTCCTGTGCAAATCGCATGCAATTCTTTGCAGTGCGATTTGAGCCCATTCATTTTGCATGGCATTGGTGCAACCCTACATATTACCATTGCACCCATTCCTGAAATGGGCATTAAAGTAATGGTTACTGCATCTACCACTAGCTGGAAACTGTAGCATGCATAGCACAGTGTAAATATTTGCCAGCACACCATGGATCTTCAAAATAAGTCTGAATTTTTTTTTAATTTAGAAAGATCACTTTGGAGCAGCGTCAGGACTCACATGTCTGCTACCCCTCTCTGCCAATCCCTACACTGGCTTCCACTCACTCAACGAATAAAATTCAAAATACTAACAACTTACAAAGCCATCCACAACTCTGCCCCCAGTTACATCACCAACCTGGTCTCAAAATATCAACCAAACCGCTCTCTTTCAAGACCTGCTCTCTAGTTCCATGTGTCACCTCCTCCCATGCTCGCCTTCCAGGACTTCTCCTGAGCTTCCCCATCCTATGGAATGCCCTACCCCAATCTGTTTGGTTGTCTCCTAATCTATCCACCTTTAGCCTATCCTTTAAAGCTATCCTGCTTCTACCTAGTAAACTGCCATTTATTTCCTCCATCAGCTCATCCCCCCACAGCTATTACCTTTTGTATCACTCAACCCTCCTCTTAGATTGTAAGCTCCAACGAGCAAGGCCCACTGTTTCCTCTTCTACCAAACTGTATTGTAACTGTAATGTTTACCTTCCTTTTGTAAAGCGCTACGCAAACTGTTGGCGCTATATAAATCCTGTATAATAAATAATAATGCCTGACGAAAGGGTCTTGCGCAACTCTGAAATATTGTACTCTTGTGTTTGTGATCTTTCTACAATAAAAATAAATGTTCAGACGTATTCTGAATACCCGTGATGTGCTGGCAAATATTTACACCGTACTATGGATGCACACAGCTTGACTCAGGAGCACACCTGCACGGTTGCCCCCAAAGCCACGGTTTGCTTAAGGAGGCACCCAGAGCAGCCAGAAATGGACAGCATCAGTGGAAGACTCCAAAAAGAGGAGGTAATATGAATACTGAAAAGAACTGAAAAATAATAATTCTCTGTAACTTTTAGTGAATGAGGTATACATAGTCATAGAAAACTTGCTTTCTATGTTCAGTTACAGTTTTGGTTGGCAAATGCTCTTTGGTTAAAACAGTCCTGCCTTGAAATGTTCATGCAGGACTGCCAAGAGCCAGATTATTTAGCTTGCATGAGCCAACTGCCTGCTCTACATGAATATGATGCACACGCTCATGCTGCATTTGTGCAATCACCATTTATTTGATTTAATTGTTTGCAATTATTTGATTTTAAAAAAAGAAGGTTATAGTTTCTCATGGTTACAATATGCTTCTGTTATGTGACACATTTGATCCTGCTTTTAAAGCTTACGCATTTTGTCAATGATGAATCTCTGAATCTCTGTTCTGTTTTTTTAAAAGTAAATGTGTTCAGGATTTAGCCAAAGTTCCCCTAGCCCACTCAATAACTCCCAACCACAGATCCATACTTCCCTCCTCCAACGGGCAGAGTTGTCTACATCCCCGGCACTACAAATCTAGTGCTGGATGCAGCAACATCTCATCAATTTGAATGGAAATACAAATATGAGTAATCTGACACTATTCAGTGAAATGAACATAGTATAATGTTATTATAGAACATTCACAGGTAGCTATGGAAACAAACACAAATTGCATTGAAAGGGCTTGTAGGGTTACCAATGAAAATATACTGAAGTTATGATCTCTATGGCTCGCTAATAACGGAGGTAGTGATGTAGAAATTTGGAGCATGTCAAAGGTTAAAAGTTTACCAATCTCAGGTTCTGATGTTATTACCGGCTTCCCCTATCCTTTCTATAACATCATTATTGCAGTGTAATGGACTATTGTGTGCACATGTTATCTTTGTTGCTGGGGATAATAATGAAATAGATTTGTTAGAGTAGATAAAAATATCTGTGCTGGAAGTGAATGGCTATAGAATAGATCAGGAGATTGAAATTCCTGCATCACTCTTGCTTAGCCAGCTGTTGATTAATTTGGTAGAGAGGACTAAGTTCATCAATAGCAATTTAAGAGTGATCATGAGAGCACCATTTTATTATCTTCTATCATGACCTAGCATAGAAGTCCTGGAAATCATCAACTAAGAACCAGCAGTGTGAAGGAAAGGGGATCAGCAACAGAGCAAACCTGGAAAATCACCCACTCTAATATCTATCTGATTTGTCATTATGATCAACTTTGCTAACTTTTTTGTCCTTTTCTGGCTTTCGTGGTGAAAAAGGATAACAGATATAAAAAATAGCATAAATACTTGCTATTGAATCTGTATTGTCATTTAAAAAGGGATTCTAAAGACTTATTTAAAATTAAAAAAAAAAACCATGGTATACTCACCTGCTCTGTGCCATTGTTTTGCAAAAAGCAGCCCTGATCCTCTTCTTTCTCGGGTCCCCCTGCTGGCACTCCTGGCCCCTCCCTCCTGCCGAGTGCCCCCATAGCATACCACTTGCTATGGGGGCACTCGTGCATGTTCACTCCTGAGTCACCTGCTCCCTCCTCTGTGTTTGTGATTGACAGCAGCAGGAGACTATGGCTCCTGCTGCTGTGTCTGAGCCAATGAGGGGGGAGACAGCAGAGAGCGCCTCTGCTCTTCTGTACATCACTGGATTGAGATCGAGCTCAGGTAAGTATAAGGGGGGGGGGGGCTGAGGGGAAGAGCTGCTTGAAGGTTTTGTTTTACCTTAAATGCATAAAATACATTAAGGTAACATCTTCTGCCTTTAGAACTACTTTAATGGTATTAAAACGTACCCTTCTATTTCAATCTGCGACCTCTGTAAGTTTATATCATTTCAGGGCAATATGAAGGTGTTCTGTACACAGTTGCTGTACAGAGCGCCCCCAGAAATGTAATTTCCTCTGCCTGGCTTACTGATTTTCCCAGAAGTTTGCACCAAGCCAGGTTTTAGACATCCTCTGCAATAGGAATTATATTTTGGCGAGATACTCCCTAAGGGTTATTTATTTCTAAAGGGATGCAGACCCTGCAAAATTTCATATTAGAACAGTACAAGTGCATTGGTTGTTTAGATTGCACACAAACCCTCTCA